TCGCAAAGATGGCCTCAGTGATTTCAGCCATCGTGAACGGGGCAGTGAGACCGGCACTATGGATGGAGAGGCAGAGGTGTACAGATCAGAGAGCAGGAAATCCCAGGTGGTTTCAACCGGTTGGCCAGGGAGGTCGGAGTAGAAGTTGTGAAGGACCACAGCTTTAGCCGCATGAGTGGAGTGGCTAACATTGGCATCCTCCAGGGACTGGATGTAATTTTTCCTTCTGCGGCCTGAAGCAGAGGCATGAAAGAAGCGGGAGTTCTCGTCCCAATGGAAGGCGAGCTTGAGAGAGAAGCGCTTGCGCCAATAGGACAGCTTGTCCCTGAGGACTCCTTGGAGGGCAGAGGTGGCTTCTGTTCGCAAGGAAAGCTCTGAGCTGTGGAGATGGCGACATTCTTCCAAAATATCCAAAGCGTCGACCAAGGCACGAAGGTCCAGCTCCCGCTGATCAGGATTTTTCATGCGTTTTGCCCAAGCTTTGCACTCCTGCCGACATGCCTTGATCCGTCGGGTGAGCTGAAGGCCGCCTGAGGCCAGATTAGTCGAGCGCCAAGCAGCACAGATAGCAGCATGGAAGCCAGGACGACGGCACCAGAATTTTTCAAACCGGAAGCAAGCTTTGATATAGACTTTTGGTGCAAGATTGGTAGCTTCATGAGAAGGTTGATCCAGAAGAATATCTCCAAATTTGGAGAACATCCATCCGATCTTCTGAGACAAAATAGATTTGCACAGTTTGGAAGAATTGCTATACCTTCTGAATCATTTTTTGGTTGTCTTCAATATGAACGCTCTTCACAGGAGGAAATCCCTGAGATAACAATGAAAGATGTGTTGTTTGGAACCGTTACTCTTGAAAAATCTGATATCCTACTAAGGTCGTCCCAGATTCCACCATGCATACTATAGTTATGTCTATACTTGGTCTTAATACGATTTTGCCATTTTGACGTAATTCTCTAAGATTAATAAAGCTTTCTTTAAAAAAATCCTGGTTAATTTAGGAGGATCATATCTGATAGTGTTGATAGGATGTCGCAAATTACCAACCCGGAGTATTTTTAGTTTTACAGAATAAATACATGATGTTGAGGGATACCTCTTCATTAGATAAAATGAAATATGCTTGGCGTTGGTTTTACTACTCTAGATAGAAGCCTCAGGATCTGGGCATTCAGATCGACGACTTGTGTTTTCTTTATGTTTCCAGCTGAACCCCTGCTAGTCTGCTACTCCTTTTGTCCCACAAAAAAAGTGCACATCTTGTTTTGCAAAATTAACTAATTAAAACTTGACAAAATCATAAAAAAGTCTAATATATATGATTCAAATAAATATTATTAGATTAATCATGCAATGTATTTTTATAGTAAGTTTATTTGAGAATACAAATATTGATACTATATTTTTTTATAAACTGGTCAAATTAGAAGACGACACGTGCAGTCTTTTTGGCCGAAGGAAGTAGTCATTTTTGTCGGCTGTGACTCTTGCTAGGTTGTTTGGCAAGTTCCCAGCTTCGTCTTGTTGTGTGGCAACAAAAGTCTAAGACTCACTGTTCCAGAAAGATCTGGAAAGAGATATTGAGTTAGGTGAACTGAATGGTTTCATTTCCGTTTGATTTTAACTGTATTACTTAATCATGCAACATTTTGAGTACCTGTACTGTACTAGTGCTGCAGTTTTATAAATTTGATGCCTTCTCTGTTGCCCCGTGTGTGCTTGTGTGAAATCATGAACTCCTTTCAACTGAGAGTGCAAGTTCATTGTCTTTATCCTAAATTGTTTCCACGGTAAGCAGCTGCTAAATTGCACATTTTTTTTCAAAATCGCACTAATTTAAAGGTTTATGGCACTACTACAGGAACTATATGTAAAGGTGGTGCTTGTTGATATACGGAGATGGGTACCGGCACACTGACTCTGCCAAATGGTCTTATGTAAATGAGATATATGAAGTGGCGCAACTAGAGAGGCCGGTACTTCCTCCGTTCCAAAATAAGTGCTCATTTTGTACTTCGAGGAGTCAACAGATCTTATATTTGACTGAATTAGCGGAAAATAGTATTAACATTTGAATCTCCAAAAAGATTTAGTATGAAAATATATGACATGGTTAATCTAATAATATATGTTTTGATGTCATAACATTAGTATTTATATATATATATTTGGTCAAATTTAAAATTGTTTAACTTCTCGAAGTGCGAGAAGTGCACTTATTTTGAGATGGAGAGAGTAACATTTATAGAGGTGGTGTTCTTAAGAAATCTACATCTATTAACGAGTTTTACCAAACAAAAAGGCCAAAAATAGCAAAATATATTTTTAGTCCAGGGACAAAAACATAGCTGGGCACCATGATCATGGGTCCAAGTCATAATAAAAATAACATTAAAAAGTCAAATAAAAAAAACTCAACCCTCGGATGACTAGGCAACCCCAGAGCTTTGCGCTTTAAGAAGGAGACCTCTCACACAGGTGGAGAAAAACCCCCGAACCCCATACCCTGGCCGCACACTGGGGCCAATACCTCTGTGAGTGGTCCTATCCACAACATGTGCTTTGGGAAACGCAGGGCAAGTGAGGGGATTTTTTTCACACTTGCTAGCATAAATCGCCCCCGAGGGGGCTCGATCCCCGGCCAGCAGGAGAGCTAGACGAACCGGACTAGCTTCCATTGGCATTAAAAAGACATAGAAACACACAAAAATAAAAAGGAAAACAAATAGAAAAATGCCATGCGCACTATATGAACAATGAAAATATCTTCATGAAACATCTCATTGATATTATGTGAACAACTCACAACGCCATATAATATAACATGTATATTGTGTGAACAAAATCAAGTACAACTTGGAATCTCTTATGGATATCGTGCGAACAACAAAAAATATAGCATGTAACATATTAGGAGTACAATAGGAACATTGCAAAATGCACAAACTAACAAATAAATGAAGGAAAAATAATTAGGATCAAATGAATCAAAATATAAAGGTTAAACAAAACTAAAATCCTTAGAATAGAATAAAAATAAAGAAAATAAAAAGAGAAAGGGAAAAGAAACAAAAAAGATAAATAAAGGGGAAAGAGATAGAAAATCAAGGTTGTAGTACTTCTGTATTGTCTTTGTGGTGGCCACTTGCCGGCCCGCTTTGTGTAAGGCTTTTGGGCCTGTACCCCTTACTGCTATGATGAATTGATGAGTAGTTCATGGTAAGGCTGAAAGGGTACCTGAACACAGAGACTGATCTGGCAGTAATATCGCAGATTGGAAAGGTTGAGGAGAAACATCTGCCGACCACAGCAAACATATCGACTTTTGTTTTAAAAAATCCTTCATACTCTGTATCTTTTTTAGCTAAAGAAAGATTTCTCTACTCTTGGGCAGAACTGTTAGAGAAGTGGACTCAAGATATCAGATTTTCAGATATTCCTCAAATTTGGAAAAGGGGCTCATGGTTATCCATAATTCTTTAGTTACTAGATAAATGCTCATGCGTTGCACCGGGACCATTACAATTTTTGTCGACACTTTACGATAACGGATTTATAGAAACGATAAGAATCATATCGAACGTGGACACATGATTCCGGTTTTCATAGCGGAAACACATAGGATGCGGACACGTAAGCTCCGAGGTAAGGATGATTCGTATCACATGATAATGAGGTTTGGCGTTGTTTTTTCCCTTAATGACGCCAAAGGAGCCTAGGAGGATATCCTGCAGCTATATGGTCGGAACTCTGGACAACCAATTAAAGCAAGCTTCTGCACGCTGTCGTCCCCGCTGCTGGGCTCCTGGCTCCCTCCGTGCCGGCCTCGCCGCGGGCACCGCCCCGTCAGCTGGCCGCCGGGCGCGGCCAGAGGTGGCGGTGCTTGGCCGGCCGTGGCCCCAGGCGGTGGCGCGTGGCCGGTCGCACGCCCTGGTTGGCCGGCACCGACCGCGAGCGTCGGCGCGTTTCTAGGCGGCAGCTCATGGCAGGGAGAGCCCCGGGTCGGTGGCGCGTGACCAGGCTCGACTAGGCGCCGGCACGTGGCCAGGCGCTGCGTCAGCAGGCGGAGTGTGGCAGGGAGCGCCTGCAGGAGGCTGCGCGTTGCCGGGTGCACTCATAGGCGGCGGCGTGACCCCGGGAGCGCGGCGGTGAACAGGCGAGGCTGCGCCCTTCGTGTGCAGGTGCGTCGACCGGTGTTCGAAGATCGAAGATTTGGAGCAGACTCGGGATATCTACATACAAGATCGGATCGGACTCTAATTTTGTTCTCTGTCGGTGTTTTTGCGGATTTTTTTGCTTCTGCCCTGTGGACGATTCCTTGAAGGCTTTTTAGGTGTAGAGATATGTGCAGAACTATAGCCTTTCGAAATAATATTTTACTGTTGGAGATATCATAATCAGGAATTGTGACCACTATTTTGTGGTAAAAAATCTAAAATTGGCAGATAGTGGCATCCCAATATGTGAAGGTACTGGAAGACTGAGTTAGTATTTGATCGAGACCCTCTGCCTGACATAGAAGACTAGAAACAGGGGAGAATAAGGAATCAACGTAAGTACAGTATGTTGCATGGAAACCCAATTGCATAGATCATAAATGGTGATGGTGCAGTGTCCCATGAAGCAAAGGTTGGGTAGTAGTTGTTGACAATGACACAGACAATGTCAATCACAACATTTAGTTTGAGGCTGAAGCAGCCCCAATGTTCGGACAACTCATAGCAGCCCCAGTGTCGGCTATTGACTTCTTCTCAGGTTATCCCTGAGCTCTGTTGTTCATATATATATATATATATATATATATATATATATATATATATATATATATATATATATATATATATATATATATATATATATATATATATATATATATATATATGTCTTTGCTCTCCTTGGAATTCTGATAAGAAACATAGAAACACAGAGTCTCAGAAACACCAAACTTACTGCCTGCTGTCCTGCCCATCTTCTGTTTCTCGTCCTAGCCCCAAATGGAGATTTGCCTTTCTGCAGTTCTGGGTGAGCTTACTACAAGATCCATAAACTTTGTCCTCAGAAAACTCTCAAAGCCACCAGCACTCAAAGTTGAGGATTGCCTGGACAAGGTCCTGCTGAGAGTGCAGGTCATTGTCGACGAGGCCATGGGGCGGCGCATCACAAACCAAGCTATGCTCCAGCAGCTTGACATGCTGAGAGACGCCATGCATCGAGGATATTACATGATCGAAGCCTACAGATGCCAATCTCACAACAAAGAGAAGGATAAAGATCACATTTTGAGTCACTCTTCACAATCCTCCAAAGCAATTTCTGCCCAAAACTTCTGTTTCTCCAGTAGTGGAACTAGTACACAGATTTTGGAAGAAATGAATGGAGTGCTCGACAGTTTGAGCTCCATGGTCCTTGATGCCAGTGAGCTGATCCTCTTTTTGGAGAGCTATCCCCGCATGTACCGTGAGCCCTACAGCATGCATATCCTGTTGAGGAACTGCATGTTTGGGCGCCAGATGGAGACAGAACTCATCATCAACTTCCTGCTTCACAGTGAGTCTGGTAGTACTGAAGAATTGGAGGTCCTACCGATTGTCGGTCCTGGCAGAGTTGGGAAAAGCACCCTTGTTGCCCATGTGTGTAAGGATGAAAGAATCCGCAACCATTTCTCGGAAATCTTCTTCCTGCACAAACATGATTTTATAGATGGTGAGCATCCTTTTTCCAACGAAAGATGTGGGATGAAGCATCAAAGTAGCTTGTCGAACTCGAATAGTGAGAGGAGACTGTTAGTTGTTGAGTTAATTGGGGATCTCGACGAAGATACATGGGGAAGGTTGTATTCTGCTTTTAAATGGAGCGTCCAAAGCAGTAGTAAAATCATAGTCACAAGTCGGTCTGACAAGATCATAAAGTTTGGAACAACACAAGCACTAACTCTAAAGTATCTATCCCAGGAGGCATATTGGTATTTCTTCAAGACACTTACATTTGGAAGCCTGGATCCCAAGACACATCCAAGGCTTACAGGCATAGCCATGGAGATATCCAGGACACTGAATGGTTCCCTCATTGCTGCAAACGTCACTTCTCTTGTGCTGAGGGGTAACTTTGACATCCACTTCTGGTGCAAGGTTTTGGCATTCTTGAGAGGGTCTTACCAGAAGCATGTCTCCAGATTTGGCGATCATCCAATCGATCTTATGAACCAAAATAGGCCTGCACGTTTCGAGAGAATTGCTGCACGCTCTGAAGATTTCATTGTTCATTGTGAGCATCAACGCTCTTCACAAGAGGATGTTCCCGGGATAAAACTCCACGATCTTGTGTATGGAAGCATTAAGCCACAGGGAAAATTTGAGGTCCTAGCATGGAAATCTGAGATACCACCCTACTACAGCTATGTTTATGCTAGTGAAATCCCAGAGCTAAAAACAAAAGCTGCCAAGAGGAAGCGTTCTATGAAAAATGAAGTCGTGCCTTGTTAGTATTTCCCTTATATATGGCTTTTACAACAGTAATATATCTGTATCTGTATGTATGATTTTACGTGTAACTAGTACATAAACCCGTCCTCCTGTACGGGCTAGCGTTTTAGAAGACATAAACATTTTACTGTTTAATATATATGACTAATAAAAATGAATTATATTAATTTGCATGTTTTTTTCACATTGTTTATTTTCTAAAAAATAAGCATCATAGATACTATGTAGTGTCTACCTAGTTTTGACAAACTTATTATATACTGATGTAATGGTTTTGCACCTCTATCAATGCCTTATTCCCTCTTTACGTGGAACATTTGTGTCTCTCGAGTATGCGTTTAGTTAAACTATTGTGGCTTTTGTTGTTGTCCATATCTTAAGAGGCCATGAATCTATATTTTGTTTTTCAAATTTTAATCTTGTTTGTTGCTACAAATTTTTGACCCTCAAGTTAGGTTGAAACTCTTGTGCTTGGTATATCTTTTATCAAATCTCCTTTTGTGTATTTCATTAAAAATAAGGACTTTAGTTTCTAAACTCCACTCTTAAGTATCCAGTTATTTAAAACCTGCACCACATCACTTAAGATCAGTAGTAGAGCTTGAACTAAGATCTTGGATGCGTACTGATGCTAACCTCAGGATGTTCTTAAAATTTAAGCCTTACAATTATTATTTGCTCCAAAAGAATTTCAATGGCCCAGTAGATATACTTATATATAGTTTGCAATAACCTCTCCCACTTCTCAAGACATTTAAATTATCTTTTCATGAACTATATGTGTAGTAATTTTTCATTATCGCAACTACACAAATGATTTCACGAGGCACTGCTCATTTGTTAATGCAGGCGAGAAGACTGGGTGTAGCACCTGGTTTTACGAACAAAACCAGATACACACCATATGTGAGTCCAGAAAGTCAAATCTCACATATAACTACAAATACCGAAAGACAATGCTCAATATATATCGTACTTAGTATAAATAATATAACCTTAGACAACAAACAGCGGAAAGACAACTCCAATCATCGGGTGAAGACTCCAATTCTACAGGGACAACTGACTAGTCGATCACAAGCCTAATTCCTCCAAACTCTAGCAATCTGGTACCCATCCGGGATTTTCCAAAGATTTAAAAAGTAAAGCAAGCGTAAGTACATGCCGTACTCAACAAATATAACATGAGGTTCATGAGCCTCAAAAGGCTGACACTGGCTTAACTGCAATTAACTTTTAATGAGTCATCTTTTAGTAATTGGGTGGCAACAAGTTTATTCATAAGCCCATATAAACACATGATCAGGTAAATATGAATAATGAATAGCATAAACAATTAACCATTAATGAGCATCTTTATCATCAGTATCATCAGTGTTCATCATCTATTCCGTAAGGGTCCAAGGCCGCTCATGACCGTGAGCACGGCCGATATACCAGTTTTACACTATGCAGAGGTTGTACACTTTCACTGTAAGTCGTGATTTACCCTTTTGCCCGAGGTGATCAGCCTCTTGACCCACTACCAAGGAAGGTCGGTAGGGTTCACTATGAAGCCTTTCAAAGGTTAGTCTAACAAGATAGGGCCATTAGATTCACTCGGCAAATAGATGTAGAGCCCCCCTTCCCAATGGCATAATGACGCGTAGCCTATACACAAGGAGACAGAGGCCGCACTATACCCGATTCGGTAAGCTATTCTTACTCCAAAAAAGGTAACCACTAACAAGCTAGAAAAAAGGTCCTCATACTAAGCTAAAGCCAGAGCCATGTAGCCCTCATAGTTGTACTATAAGTCCTGAATGTTCGCTTACAGATAAGTCCTTAGGGAGAGGAATCTAGAGCACCATAAAATAACCCAATGCTCGAGCCCCCTTGTTCCATATTGCTAAAAAGCATCTTTTAGTTTGAGCACTAGCATCATACTATCCAATGCAATACCCCATGGGTAACAAGGAATCTAGGATATTAAATAGCTAGAAAACTTACTACAGTTGCCGAGGTAGACATATGCATATGATTAAATTATTAAAGTGAATAGGACAACAAGGATGATCCTATGCTATACTTGCCTTAGACTCAGATCCTTCTTCTAGTCCAAACCTTCAATGGAACTCCTTGATCAACACATAAAGCTCATCGACTGGACATGATCATAAAGCACCACACAAGCACCCATGCAATCATACATGAAGCAAATAATAGAAATAAATTTGAACAGTACACCAAACATATGAAACAACAAGTAAAAAGGTTTTAAAGATGTTCTACATGTTACTACGAACACACAGACGCGAAAAGCACGCTAATTGGAGCTATAACGGAAAAGTTATGAACTAAACAAGATTTTTTTAATAAAATAATAGATTAAATTTTAACTTCAAATTTTAAAAGTTGAAAATATATTTAACAGTAGTATAAATATGTATATTACGCAATTACGAATCTAACGCAACTTGAACAGGTCAAATCGGAGTTAAAACGAAGATTTTATGGCTAAAATAAGATTAGTGGCAAAACTATAAATAAATAAAAGCGTATTTTGGATCTAACCGAAGAAACTACGTTTTCAAAAGAAGAAAACGTATTTTGAATCTAACAGAGGGATTTTACGCTTTCCGAAAGAGAAAACGTATTCTGAATCTACTAGAAAGAAACTACACTTTCGGAATATGAAAACGTATTCTGGATGTGCGCCATGGACTGCGGGTTATATTATGCGAAACTGTAGGGGCTCTTATGAAAAATTATCAGGTGAAGGGGTACGGTGAAATCTGGACCGTTGGATCTAAAGTGGACGGTGCAGATTAAAACAAGGAGGGAGAGGGAAACGGTTGGCGGCCGAAACAGTACTGCGGGCGGCGTAGGACATGGCCGGCGGTGAGCGGTGCACGGAAAAATGGCCTTCGGGCCATGGTTCGACTAGGGAAAGATACAGAGAGCAAGAGGAGACCAAGGTGAACTTACCACGACGAAAAACGGTGGCGTGGAGCGGATGGAGACGGCGCTACGAGCTCAAGATGGTGGACGGCATCGACGGCGGCGCCTAGGGCTGCGGCGGCACGGTGACTCGGCGGATGTGGCTTACTCTAGAGCTTGGTAGGGAGGCGGCATGATGCGGGCGACTGCTATTTATGGCCCGGTGATCATCTGGGCGCGCACGGCAAGGCGGATGAGGTAGGGCGACTTCGTACTCTCAGCGGCGGAGTCCGCTTCGGCTACGACGGAGGTAAGGGATGGTGCTGACTCAGGGGCCCCACTTGTCAGCTACTGAGCACGGGAAGAGGGAAAGTGGCACAGGTGACGCTGGGCCGTGTGTGGAGGAAGTGAGCAGGTGGGCCGCACAGGAGCGGGAGCGGGCGACGTGGTGTTTCTGGGCCGGCCAGCTGGGCCTCGCGGAGAAGTGGAAAAAGAGAAGTGGGTCACGGGGGAGAAGTGAGCCGCGCGGGAGAAGGTGGGAACGGGCCAGCTGGGCCAGAAAGGAGAGAGGGAGTGTTTTTTTCTTTTTTTTCTTTTCATTTTCTGAATTCTATTTTCAAATCCAAATTCAAATATGATCCAAATCAAATTCAAATATCTTTTCAAGATGAGAACTTTTGGGAGGTTTCCAAAACTGAACTTTTGCAAACTTTTGAAAACTCTTTTATTTTTCAATTCTCTTTTTCTTTTCTTTTCTTTTATTTAAAAGCCATTTTCAAATTCATTTTCAAAAGCATTTTGAATCCATTTTGAATTTTGGATTCAACCAGTCATTGCAATAAATCAAATGCACCGGCATGTATGCACATCCATGTTGCTACTCCTTATCGTGAATTTTAATATAATGAAAAATATTCTTTTTCCTATATTTCATGTGCACAAAAATTCATAAATAAATCATTTTAATCATATTTTTAAAAGTATAAATTTTAGGATGTAACACTGGGCGACCGCCTCTGTTAATTGGTAGCGGGGCTCATGGCGAGCGCCTGCGTGCGTTAACCATTAACGGATGCGGGCAGCTTTAGACATCTACCTCGGTTAATCAAATAACTGAGGTGGGCACCATAAGGTGACTACCTCCGTTAATGGACTATTAATGGAGGCGGACGACTTCCTCAGTTAACCGATTAACGGAGGCGGTTGAGCTAAGGCGGTCGCCTCCATTAATGGGCGATTAACAGAGGTGACCGCCCTTATAATGCCTGCCTCCGTTAATCGATGGCTATAAATGCAGCCCCCAGCCACCCCCACCTTCTTCCTCCACGAGCTCAACCTCTCTATTTGACGTGTTTGAGCTCCAAAACTCCAAAAATTCACCAATTTTTAGAGGGTGGAGTTTTCCTCTTGGATTCCTTGAAGGAGAACACTGCAGGAGGTTGTTATGCATTCCCACATCCTTATTCTGCTCTCTTTTTGAAGATTTGGGTGATCTAGATCAGAACTAGTTCTTCATGGAGGAGAGATAAAACATATCTAGTTCTTGATCTGCTGTAATTTCTTTGTAATACTGCTATACTTATGTTTTGTTCGCTGCATGTGTAAGGTTCGATGGCATGGAAAGGTCAGAATGGATGTACCAGACATCGAGGCTATCATTGGCCTACATAGGTTGGGTGAAAAAGTTTGTTGACACTGCTCGAAAGCATAGTCTGACTGTGAAGCAGTAGGAAATCATATGTCCGTGTTCTCACAACAAGAATAAGCTTGCCCATGAAGGTAGCATGGTGCAATCTCACAGGATCAGGTTTGGTTTCATCTAGGAATACACGGTCTGGAGGTTTCATGGAAAAGTAGATGCGAGTGGCAGTGCATCTTGAGGAAACTCATCGTCAACGACAGTGAATGTAGACCATGCAAGAGAACCCTCATCATCATCAACCGGCGGGCACGGCGTTGCTGGTGACAATGCTGATTTCATCATGATGGATGATTTAGTCCAAGACATGGTCGACAGTGGGGGCAAAGTGGATGGTGAGCCAGCTGTGTTGGAGCCCAAGGATGCAGAGCCTTTTGAGGAA